AAGTCCTTTGAGATCATCAAGTCGAACAATTACCCCAGCTTTGCCAAGACCACCACTAAAGCAAATCACTGAGGGCCTCGTCTGCACAATTTTTGAACACTTCCAGGGTCAGTGATTCCATCATTTCCCTGGGCAGCCTGTTCCAATGCCTGATCACCCTCTCTGTGAAGAAATTTTTCCTCGTATGCAACCTAAACTTCCCCTGACCCCTATTTGGAACAAGAGACTGACCTCCACCTCACTACAACCTCCTTTCAGGTAGTTATAGAGAGCAATAAGGTTCCCCCTGAGCCTTCTCTTCTCCAGACTAAACAACCCCAGTTCCCTCAGCTGTCCTTCATAAGACTTATTCTCCAGACCTTTCACCAGCTTTGTTGCCTGATTTTCTCGACCTGCTCCAGCACCTTAATGTCTTTCTTGTAGTGAGATGCCCAGAAATCAACTGTGGTTTGTTTGTCTGTTTGTTTGTTTGTTTGTTTGTTTTTAACACTTTTACAATTCTCCTTTTATATTAATACTACAGTAGGGAAACAGTGAAACAGTAAATGTTACTCAAAAGCTATATTTTTTTTAGTTTTGGACTTACTGGACTTGTGCAAAAGCTTCAGCACCACAAAGCAGTGCATTAGTATATAATGTTTATACCTATTAGGAAGCTAAAATTATTTATTGTTATTATAGAATCATAGAAAAGTTAGGGTTGGAAAGGACCTTAAGATTATCTAGTTCCAACCCCCCTGCCATGGGCAGGGACACCTCACACTAAACCATGTCACCCAAGGCTCTGTCCAACCTGGCTTTGAAAAGCGCCAGGGATGGAGCATTCACAGCTTCCCTGGGCAACCCATTCCAGTGCTTCACCACCCTCACATTAAAGAACTTCTCCCTTACATCCAATCTAAACTTCCCCTGTTTAAGTTTGAACCCATTACCCCTTATCCTATCATTACAGTCCCTAATGTAATTCCATCCCCATCCTCCTTACAGGCCCCCTTCAGATGCTGGAAGGCTGCTAGGAGATCTCCTCACAGCCTTCTCTTTTCCAGGCTGAACACCCCCAACTTCCTCAGCCTGTCTTCATATGGGAGGTGCTTCAGTCCCCTGATCATCCTCGTGGCCCTCCTCTGGACTTGTTCCAACAGTTGCATGTGTTTTTCATGTTGAGGACATCAGAACTGCACACAATACTCCAAGTGAGGTCTCACGAGAGCAGAGTAGAGGGGTAGGATCATCTCTGACCTGCTGGTCACGCTCCTTTTGATGCAGCCCAGGGTACGTTTGGCTTTCTGGGCTGCAAGTGCACACTGCCGGCTCATGTTCATTTTCTAATGACTGATCCATAGTCATTAGTTACCCCTCTGTGCTACTTGTTGAATTTTTTTCAGCCATACGTACTTGGCCTGAGCTTGGATTTTACATCAATTACATGAGGGGCTTTAAGAAAATAAAGTAATTAATCATTCACTAACTTTATACATATACTCATAGAAAACTTTTCCAATTAGCTTTGTTGGTCAATGACTCCAAAGTTCAGTGGTTCTATCAGTACAGTGTGGCAAAAAAGATTGATTTACTGTCTTTTACAACCATTTTAATAACATTTAAAAGAGTGTGATGTGTTTGTGAAGGCTCCATTGCAATTTAGCTTAGCATAAATAGTGCAAAGTCATTAGGTGGTGTGGCAGGGCTAAAAGAAGAACATCAGTTCATTTCAAGGCCTAATGCTGATATTAATGAAGTTTGGGAAGACAATCAACTGGAGACTGAAAAGTTATTGCAGTCTAATTTAATTGTATACAAGGATATACTTACATTTTATTCAATTTTTATCATTCATATTTTTCATCTCTAGATCAGTTTATTTATACATATGAAAAGCATGCAAATTTTTGTGTCTGAACTGTATTTCACATATGATCCAATGTGACTATTACAAAAGTCTATTTTATCTTTTTAACATAGCAAGCATAACCTTTATATGTATGTGTACATATACATACATACATATGTAGCTTAGCTATATATGCCATAATGATAGTGAAGCTCTACAAGACATAATGGTTTTTAGTTTACATTCAGCTCATCAGTAATGTATTGCAAAAGAGAACTATATTCAGTAATACTAATTTTGAATCTTGCTGATGAAAATATTAAGTGGCTACAGAACTGTATGAATACCCTAATAATTAAAGTATTACTTTCAAGGAAACATTTATGTAAATTGACATAACTTTCATGAGTTTCTGAGCATATTGTGCAAAATAAATCCACAAAACAAGATTCTATTTTAATATTCTAAATCTATTCTAGTTTAATTTAATTAAGCTACTGAGCTTACCTTCACTTAAAAATAGTCTAGAATTTATGATTAGATGTAATGTCGAAATCAAGAATCTTCAAATCAGGCAAATTTAAAACAAAGCATCCAGTTACAACACAATTTCAGAGGAATTTTAGAATGATGTGGTAGCTGAAATTTGATTAAAAGTTTTGCACATGTGTATATATATATAGGTCTATTATAATATATATATAAATACCCTTTGTATATATACCAAAGACTTTTTATGTATATCATATATGCATAATATTCTGCAGATAAAGGGAGGAACTATATTTGTTAGAGAAAAGTAGCAGAGGTACCAATAATTTTCAGTCCTTTAGTAAGTAATAGTCTATGCTATTGCAGGAGAGAAGGGGCAGAGGATTTCAGGAGACATAGAGTTCTTATACATTAGAACTCAAAACACATTTGTTAGCTTGGCAGACACACTTTTGTATTACCTTAAAGAAGGATTCTAATTTTTCTGTGCTTCAGTTCCTGGTTATTCCTATTGTGATCATCCTGAGGTGGTTTAGTGAGAAATATTGATTTTAATGGGAATTTTTTTCCATAATGAGACATCAGGTACTCTTATAGTCAATTGTTAACAAAATCGTTGGAACACCTCATATCAGAGTACTGGGTGTGAGTAGGTAGCACGGTATCAGTAGTTGTTGTATTTTTGGGTAGTAAATCATTTAAATGTGGATTAAGCTGGGGGGCGGGGGGGGGGGGGATGTTGGTGTAAAAATACTTGAACAGAGAACAAGAAAAGTCAAGAAATGGGGCTTTTGGGGAGAGTAATCGGTCTATCAGGGAGGAGGAACTTGAAAGGAAATGAAGGTTCTTTGGGGGAAACTTGCTGAAGCTGATGGCACTTACCTTTTCTTCTTTTTGTTCTTTTTTAATATTTCTCTTATGCATCCTCTACCCATTTGCCTCTGGACCCACATTCCTCAAGCTCACTAATCTGATTGGACTCCTTGTTAGGTGCTTTCTCTGACCTTATTGAGCTCTTTCTTCTCCACTGTACAGCTGGATTTCCTAACTTAATGAGTGGGAAATGTTATTGTTCCCTCTCAGGGATTGATCTGTGGTTATTAGTGCTACTGCAAGTTGTTACCAGTGGAGGTCACTGTTTGATGGACTGAAAGATGAGTGGGGAGGATGGAGGCAGACACTGTAAGTCTTTGTTAAAAGATACGGATTTTGCACGTACAGTAAACAGTAAGGTTTTAGCAACAGTACTTTATATGGGAAATTCATATGTCACTCAATCAGTCAAACCAGAACATGTCCAGATAATGTTTTCTTCAGTGTTAGTGCTAGGCATTTTACAGTCACTTCTCTTGCTCACACTTTTCCAGAATATTTTTATATCCTAAAATTCTTAGCTTGTGTGACTGCTTACTTGATTTCTTCACTTGTCCTGGGTTTTCATATCCACCAGGCATAAGATTGATGTTTTCATGTAGGTCATAGAATCATAGGATGGTTGGCATTGAAAGGAACTTTAAAGATCATCTAGTTAGTGCCAACCCCCCCTGCCTTGGGCAGGGACACCTTCTACTAGATCAGGTTGCTCAAAGCCACATCCAAACTGTCCCTGAACACTGCCAGGAATGGGGCATCCACAACTTTTCTGGACAAACTCTTCCAGCGTCTCATTACCCTCACAGTAAAATGGTACAAGCATTACTTCAGGTGCACAAGAGGAAGAGTTACAAAATTGGAGGTGATTCTGCATCTCATAATGTTGGCAGTGTAGTGTCTTGCTAAAATTGTGGAAACGACACAACCACCAGCATCTTCCAAGTACAACATTAGGCCAGTAAACATGTAGTTTGTGGTTAGTTTGATGCAATTACTTTTCTGCTTGATACATGCATGCTTTGATTGTGTTCAGATTAGAGGCCACAAGCCTTAGCATCCTGTTCAAACAAACAGGATCAGGGTTCTGGACCCTGCGTACAGGCCACATGTAAAGCAAATGCAGTACCTGTTTCCTGAGCATCATGAATATGAAACTAGAGAATACCTCTGCCCTTAAATAGAAATCAAGTTCCATTCAAGATTTTATTTGAAGTTCTGTGTTTAAAAAAGCTCCTTACGCAGTATCAAGCTATGCCTTTAAGTTAATTCTGATGTGTTAGTACATGTCTCTATACACATATGTGTTTGTGTGTGTGTGTGTGTTCCCTTCTGGTTAGCAAATGCGTCCAGATAATGAAGACAGTCACAAAAGTCAAGACTGTATTTGAAACAGAGAAATGTGCTTCATGTATTACCTAAATTGATCAAATCAAATACTTATACCTTTTTGTGTCTTTTTATATGTATACACACACAATTAATGTATTATCTTCATAAACATGTTTCCCTACTACTTTATGCCAGTTTTATTACATCAATTTGTTTTTTAAAAGTTGTGTTCAGCTGGTACATAAACTCAAATTGCCCACCAAATTGTTTATTTGGATTGTTCCATTGGTCTTGCCTACTCTTATCTGTTGTTGGTGTGACTTAACCCTCAAGATATATTTTTTGTTCCCAGTCAGAAATGTTCATACTGAGTTTATTCTAGATCAACAGAGATGTTGATTTGATTGTAAGTAATGTGCTTTTCATGACTGGTGATTCTTTGGTTTAAAGTAGCTGTTATTTGTCACACTGACAGGTACACCTATTGAGAAATGCTGGCGATGAAGTTACCATCACTGTTCAGTACCTCAGGGAAGCTCCATCATTTTTAAAGCTCCCATTAGGTAAGAGGAAATTAATGAATAAAAGTAATTTGTTTTCCTCTTTGCAGTATTCTTATAATAAGATGACAGTGACAGAAATAGGAATTAAATCCTTGAGTGGTTTACAGGAAGAAAGAGAAAACTGCATGTACTTTGTTGCTTAACATGTAAGGATCTAATGCATACTGCATGACTGCTTCTGTATAGTTTATTCAAAATAAAACTGAACAACTCATTAAAATGAAGTACAATCATGGGTGATATCTGAAAGCTGTTCTACAGAAACTTTGCCTGAATACAATAAAATAGTGTTTGCAAACATCTGAATCATACATTCACACTGAAGAGTATTTTCAGGACATTTTCCAAACAAATGGATAACATTAATTATGTGTATTTCATACATTTTGATCATTTTTGTCAGAGTAGAATTATAATGTGACAACTGAGTAATTTAAAGGTAGCAATAGTAAATTGTTTATGAAAAATGCAGATGAGGGAAGTTGTTGGTTGTTCTGGTTAGCAAATAAAAATATCCAAGACGCTCACTTTTAATTAGTGTTGCAAGTAGAAAAGTGCACATAATATATCAGCTAACTTAGTCAGACTGAATAATTTTGTACTAATTTATCTTACATATGATTCTCTTCCCAAATTAAGCAAAACAAATTTAAACTATGTCTAGTTCTGGGGATTTATGTAAGTTGTGCTCAGCTATGTGCATGTTTTTTTTTTCTTGACACTAACAGAATCATAGTTCTCATAGGTCTAGCTCTTGTCATTAGATGAGGTCTGTCATTTAATCTAGATTCTTAGACTTATTAAAAGCAAACCTGACAGGCCTCTACTAAGCTGAACTATACATTTCACGATAAAACTTTTATTTCAGATCTTACTATGTGTAATTTCCAGCTGAATATGTAATCTAAATTCAGAGAAATCTTATGTTTAAATTTGGAGGTATTTTCTGGTTAGTGTTCCTTTTAATGAAACTTCAAATTTTGTCTTCCTGACTTGCCTGCTAGGTAATCAGATGACTATAGTTCAATATCTATAATGTCTTGGATAACTGTGTCCAAGCTTAAATATGACTCTGGCAAGGTAGTGGGGTCTTAACCACTAAATTTTGTGTGGCCACATTCATTTGTGGTTACGACAGTCCTACAGGTAATTTTATCTCATCTTGTTGATTGCCATCACATACACATTTGGATTCTACCACTTGTGGTTGGTTAATCTTAGCTAAGAGCCAAGCTCCCACGCAGCCACTCTCTCACTCCCTCCCCTCAAACAGAACATGGGGAGAAGATACAATGAAAAAGCTCAAGTCAAGACAGAAACAGGGATACCACTTATTAATTACTGTCAGAAATAGTTCACACAGGTCCAGAAATATTGATGCCCTCTTGGTACATCATGGCTGCATTGCCTTTCCCACCAGGAGGCATTGCAGCCATTCTTGTCTGGGTGGCTGAGATTATGGCACTGCTTCCATAAAGTGCTACTTCTGGTAAGAGGAAGCAGTGATTAGCAGGGAGACTAGATCACCTTCTATCTCCATGTGACCAGAGGTGTATGCAAAACTTCTGTAGATTAGTAGCTTCCATGAACACTTGAACCAGGAACTTTCACCTTAGAAGACCCATAACTCTTATTCAAAGGGCCTCTTTCATGGCCTGTGGCCAGCTAGCACCATTTGGAGTCTGCCCCTGATTACTGTTGTTCAAAGAAAACCTGTTTGGAATAGGGAAGACAGTGACATTTTAGACAAGCTATCACAGAGTATCAAAAATCACAGCAGAGAAGCAAGGCTTCTTAAAGACACATCTTGGATACAAATTGCTCATTTTTGGTGGGTTATTAGGCTTGCCTCCTTTATGCAGAGCATGAGGAAATCTTTGGCAAGCATTATACTACCCTGCCCAGTCCCATGCATGATCCCACACCTTCAGTCCTATACTGCATGCTCAAGAAAACGACTTGTTAAGTATGATCAGACAAGTGAAGAATTTAAATGACCCTTGTGAACTGAACCTGGACTTCAGCACAGAACTCAGCTGCTCCTCTAGGGTGTTCTGTGCAGCCATCAAATGCAGGCTAAAACCAAGCTCAATGAGTCAGATACCTATGGTGACTTGACAGAAAAATTCATTTTGGTGTTGAGGAAATAAGCAAATAAGGTGTAGAATGGAAAATAGGTCTGGTTTTGGGCTGTACACTGAGAATAGTCGTAGGACAAACCACCCTATTTCTGGAAGAGCTTTTCACAAGCCCATGCACAAAAGGGAATTCTGGTCATGAAGCACCAGTGACACATATAACAAGCTAAGCAGCAATTCTACTCTGCAATAAAGTACTTCCCAAGTCACACTGCAGGTAAGATTTACATGCATACATTCATAATTCTGAAGTCTATTGGCTTTTCCAAGCATCCCAGAAGACTCAGGCATATAGTCCTCTACTTTCAAGCATTCAGTCATACCAGCGGCTATACTGGCAGTTTTAGTACTGTGGTGTGTTCACTTCAAATACAAACAAACCATCTCTTCCTATTAACCCATATTATTACTATTTCTGTAATTACATTAACGGGTAGCATCTGTCTCCCCTGCTTCCTCATCATGCCTCTCTCCTCCCTACACTATCTCATGCCATGGCTAGCAAAAGCAAAAGATGTCACAACAGGAAAATACCTGCCTACAGGTCTCACCAATTTTTCTGGTTGTTTCTCTCTTTCATTATTGTGAGCAACAGATATAGGATCCGGCATGAATACTGATGAACTAGCACTTAGGAATGAGACAAAGACTACTTGTTTCTGTTTGGAAGAGGCCCTAACTCAGGGTGGTATGCCAGCACTGATTGTTGTATCTTTCACAGCTGCCTGGGAACCTTGGCCCTTACTAGACTATTATGAGACTGTCCATAACAGTAAATTAAATTATGCCAGAAAATATCCTTTTCCACAGGAATTTGATCAGAAATTTTATAAAATATTTCAGAATTCTTGGCATAATTTTGCATAGAGCAAATACTTCCTCAAAAAACTCTCAGGCCTAGATGAGAAGGTAGCATGGGCCAGTAGGGTTATTAACTGTCTGATTCTTTGGGTTGACTGGCTCCATGGCTAGTGTAATTCCTTATCCCATGGCCTGTGGTTTATTCTAAGGTCACTGTCAGCTAGAGAGGATAGATTTGTGATTCTGGAAAACAAAGGAAGAAATCCTGTTTTTTTTTTTGAGCTGGGTCAGGCAATTAGTGGCGATATGGGTTATTGTATTAGTCTATGTTACAGAATAGATACAGCATCAGCTCTTGGTTATTGTCATTAAGAATTCTCTGGAGCTAAGTCTATTACCCATCCTACAGCTGAGGGTGGCTTGTAGGACCCTTTTAGATAAGACTCACTGCTGCTGGGAAGACTCTTCAGCACATTTTGTGGTAAAACAGACTCTTCAGAGTTTTTCTTTTTTTGATAGTTATACCAAATTATGAGAATATTCTGAAGTTGCAAAGCCTGCAGTATAATTAAAAATCACCAGGAGTGTTTCCTTTGATTTTAATTTTGTGGATGTTCTGGAATGAGCTTTGTGTCTATTGGAGGTGTTTATGACATAATTATTAAGTTGGATAAATGAGTTTTTATTTACATACAGGAGGTCTCCAATATCATTCAGCAATGTTGATCATAAGACAAATTGATGTAAAGGATAAAGTCTTGCTGGCTTCTTGCTGGACATTGATCTGCTGACCTGTGTTTTGGGAGTTTTATTTGTTATTTAGAGATTTAGTGTAATTCAATGACTGAAATAAACAACCACGTTAATGGGACTCTTAGTTGACCAGACACCGTTCTAGGCCTTAAGGCTTTTAAAGTTAAAAGTAAAATCCAGGCTTTATTAAAATAAGTAATAAAATGCCTAACTTTTAAAATTGTAAAATCTCAGTCATTTTGTTAATATAAAAAGATTTAAAAACAGCTCCTACCTGTACCACTGCAAATGAATTCTTGCTTTAGTTGTGGTGTCAGCTAGCTTGGTGATTTGCTCTGCAAAATCCCCTGTGATCCTTACAGATTTTCTTTCCCTCACCTCAGAGTTCTCTCTGTCTTTTTCCTGCTGTCCCCAGGAGCGTATCAGTCTCTTTTGCAAACTGCAGTCACCTATATCCTTGCTATATCTCTCTTTCTGTGAGCCCTTCTCACCTTACAGGGTAAGGTGTTGTGATTTTTATTATGAGCATACTCAGCTATTGCCCAGGTAATGATCAGGCAAAGATCACCTCCTTTCCCACAGGATACCTTCTTGACACAGCCTTCTCAAAATTTAAAAAAAAAATAAAAAAGCCAGAATAAGCTGAGAATACACACATTAAAGAGATGAAGCCTGTCATAGTGTAGGTTTGCATTTCTTATAGGCTGGCTGGCTGTCTATTATTTGGGTGGGTAAGAGGGCAGCTAGGCAATAACAATTGCTGAAAATCTCACAATATACCAAACACCTTTCATCAGTACCCATCAGGATATTGTATTGTGGCCATGGAGTGTAGCAAACTATTCTCAAACTATTGTTCCAGAGTTTGGACTGGTACCTAACACATGATTTGGAGTCTCAGCTGCTTGGGCAAGAGCTACAGTAGCAGACAGTATAAGCTTTACTTTGTGTTAGTATATTTTGCATCATGTATGTTTTGTTGTAAGAACAGGGAGGAAAGACTACCTGATTGCTCTAGAGCTGCCATGTAGGGAGTCAGACCAATCTCCTAGAAGAAATTAGAGCACTGTACCTTCCTTGGGATCTTCTATAATGCTAACAAGACCAGGAAGGAGTAGTCCATGAGCGAGTGAGGCAGAATAGGCAGCGAGCAGACTAAAAGATCTGTGAACTTGTTTGCAGTCAGGTGGTGAAGGTGACATAGTTTGAGAAAGGCTTGTAGTTTCTTGTGACTCAGAAAACCAAAGAAAGATGCTGAACTAAAAGGAAATCTGCAGTGATGGTGTGGGAGGAGGGAAATTTGTTGCTTCACCTTTTATTCTTAGTTTTCTTTATTTTTCTATTCTTATTCTTAGTTTTCCATGTAACAGATGTCAATTTTCTCTACTGACAAAAAAAAAAAAATTCTAACATAGCATTTTTAATTATGGTAAAACCTGGATTTAGAGATTTGAAAATATCTAAATTAATGTCTTTTGATATGCTCAAATTGCTGAAGAAGTGAGATAATTCCACTTTAGGAATTTGATTGATTCTTGGATCTCCCATAATTACCCACTGACCCATTCTTCAGTGGAGAATTTAATGCCAACTTTTTTATTTTAGTACTTTTATTACAAAAAAGTTACATGTTATCTTCTGTTCTAGCAAGTCACCGTGGTCGTCAATGAGTATAAACATAGAATTTCTTGGTCTACTGTACTTACATGGTAGCTACAAAACATTGTAGCTAGCTACTGAAGTCAGTGCTTGGGTAAGAACCACACAAGCAAAGCATAATTCTTCCTTCTGCTGCCATCATCTAGCATTGTACTGAAAGGACTCCAAATGAAAACATGCTGAAATTTCAAAATTCAGAATGTAATTGCGAGACCTCAGCACTGAATTGGCAGAGATTTGTTATGGAGAAAATGAGTTTTTGTTGAATTTTGCTAAATCTTCTAGATATGTGGAATAGATACATGCAAAAACATGTGACTGACTTTCATGATGTGACTTGACAGGCCTATTAATGTAAAATGATTTACAGGCAATTTCAGGTGACTTCTTCAGACGGAAAAATGAGTTTTCAGTGATGGTGAATATAATGCTGTGAAATTGATTTTATGTGCTTTATTGATAAGACCAAGTGCTGTCTGAGAGTAATTGTGTATTATTGGTGCTGTATGTTAACATTTTACATTTAAGCAGAAATTACACAATGATGTGACTTTGTGCTGTTTCCATTATTGTATGTTACAAAAGTATTAAGCTTTCTTGGAGTCACCTAAACTACTAAAGCAGGATCATGATGCATAACTACTTAAGGAAGATATGTATCGATATATATGTGTAATCTGAAGATATTAACATAGAATCAACATTTCAAGATGACTGCTTTTAATTTCACAGTTTGAGAATGTGCATCATTCATGAAATTAATTAGCATTTTAAGAAAAAGATATATCCATTAATAAAGTTTATTTATGTGTACAGTTAGTACTTGCCTGGGAACATCTTATTAGCTTTGTTTATAAATACAGTCCACAGTTATACTCTAAGATGAGACTTTCAAGACTCAATAGGATTTATTTTTAATTAAATTAATAGGATTCGTGTAACTGAATTTATTAGTTTTTAAATATCTCATTCTCAGTGAAAAAAGGCTATATCCTGCAAACAGCTAAGCATAAAAGTAGTTCCCATGAGCACAGCCTCTATAAAATGACATCTAGCTAACTTTTTTCTTTCTAGACATAAAGTATAGCATATCAAAATTTTACTGATTGTCATTTTAAAATGGAAGTAGTATTTCTGGCTTGGTTTGGTGATCTATATTTAAATTTTTTCATGTGTTTTACAGGTGGAATAGATACCAACTTACATATGCATACATTTTTAATATAAGCAATTATTTTTTATTATCTGATTTCTAGGTTCCCCTGGACCATCCAGTGATCACAGCAGTGGAGCTTCATCACCTCTCTTTGACAGTGGCTTACATTTAAATGGAAACTCAACTAACACTGTAAGCAGATGATTAATAAATGGTGTAAGCTATGTGAGTTTTCTTCCCATTCTGAGCTTCAGAATGCTAGTGTAGGGCTGTAAGACTACCCTAATTTTATTGGGCTTTTTATTTACTTATTTGTTTGACTGATTTTGAAGTGCACGTACTGTAAAATTCTCCACTTACAAAACAGTCAACATGAGGCCCTGGTCTGCTAGTTTCTTAATCTGAGGCAACTGGGAAGCTTGTAAGAATGAGCACAGTAAGATTTAATCATTGTTTAGACGTGAATTCCTGTGATCTTTTGCCATATTTTGTTGAATTGTGGTATAGTACTATCGAATTTAGTCCAGCTAGAGTTTCTGAAATGTACAAGGAACTCAGAAAATAGTGTAAAGGTGAATTACTGAGGTAAACTTTTGTGACTGGTAAAAGGGTGAGAAAATGAGAAAGAAATCAAATGGGAAAGCAGATATAGGGGGAAAAAAAAGGCCTGCTTTTTTAATACAGAAGATATTAAATTCTTTTTTTCTGCAGTCACCAGCTGTGATTAAATTAATTGCGGTATCGAGGGGGGGGTGGGGGGGTGGGTTAGGGAGGGGAGATACTACTCTGGGAAAAATACTAGTCACCAAAGCCAAAGAAGATAGGTTGTCTTAGTAAGCAAAATTTTCTTTTAAGACTGAAGACTGAAGATGTAGATACTAGCTGTACAAGGACGTGGACCTTCATGTTCAAAACTTCTTCAGCTCTGCAGCTGTAGTTTTTCAGTTGGGTATTAAATTTTACAGTAGGAATGCCCAGTGAATGGAGTGAAAGTTTCCTACTCAGCAAGTGACATCAGGTCTGCTTATTGCTCCACTTCTCCCAAGCTTTTAACTCCTTTGAGCACTGTATTTCTAAACTTAAGACTTGTTTTCATCTGATTATACATATCTATGAGATAATATAAATATATACATACAATAAACGAATAAAGAGAAATAAGCCTTTCTGTGCTGATACCTATACCTTAGTGCTAGGCGTCCAAACTGAGCATAGATACAGAAGGTTTCATGCTTATTTGGTTTTAGTTATGAAGATAATTATTACTTTTAATTACCTTGTACTGTAGCCTTACTAAAGAACTCAAATCTGTCCTCAGAATCCAGCATTCTGCAAGACCTGTCTACTAGGTACTCTGCATACAAAGTGCTTTCTGCAAATACCTTGTGTTATAAGAACAGGGCTATGGTCAGATGATTGGCTGTGACTGCATTATCATCTTCTAGTAAACCAATGCCTATTAAGTGCTAGAATGATTGTGCCATAAGAACTTTTAATAATCATTATGACTGTACTGTGGGAACTGCACACTTTGAATTCTACGCATTATAAAAACATAAATAAGTGGCTGGAGTTTTGTAGACTTGTAGCAGAGTAATTTAGAGTTAGTTGCCAAGGTAACACACAAAAGAATGTGCATAAACTTGAAATATAAGTGGAAAAACAGAAAGCAAAAAGGGAGAATACTAAGGTACTAGCTTGCTTTTATACAACACTTATTTTTTCTGAAGCTTGACATAAAGTCACATAAGGAGCTACGTATGTACCAGATGCTGTGAAGCAGAACAATCTACCTTATATCTAGCCTAATAAAAAAGTCATGGTCTCCCTTCATTGGAAACAAGATGAAAAACTGACGGATTCTTATTGTGAAATACAAAAGCAAGGTTCTAAGTATTCTGAGTAGGAATGACTGGCTTTTGAGATGATCTGCTGGAGATGCATGGTCAAACTTATCAGAGTAAACTATGAGTGTAACTAACTGAGCTCTGGGCAGACCTTTCATAGTGGTTATAAATGTATTTCAACTTCTAGCTAGTGAGTGTTTCTACTTTTTTTAATTAGGTATTTTCATTTTTTACGGTGAAGGAAGAGCTGAACTGACATTTCCTATAATTGTATTGCCCAGTAGGGATAAGAATATTTAAATCCTTAAATATCCATTTAAATGTCACCTTATTAGGGAAGATCTGACTCACTTTGAGTATTGTGTCTTGTAGGATTGTGTAGCATTTGTATGTATCTTCCTATCCACAGTCAGATTCAGAAATACTGACTGGAAATACTGCTCAGGAAAGCATCAAATGTAAAGGAACGGATGGGAATGCAAGGAATTACTGATACACCAGTTTTACCAAGCTATCATTCAGCATGTCTGTTCTGAAAAACAGTTGTATAGAGACACTTCAGCTAACTTGTATCATATAGACAGTAGTTCAGCCATCTTAACAGCAAGCTGCTTCTGCCTAATGTGATTATACCATTTTCAGTTCTGGTGTTATCTTGCCTCTGTTAGATGTACCTTTACCACCTTGGCCATGAAACATCTGTTATACGTGATGAAGTACCATCTTCAGGATATAGGTACATCCTCACTATAATAGCAGAGCAGTTTGCATTGTAGCTCTTTAACAGGGTTCTCTGGAACACAGAAATGAGCTGAAGTGCTTGCTTCACACCTAATTATTTTGTGCTTGGACACTGTGACAAATGCTTTAGAGATTAGTAGTGGCAGATACATTCATCTGTATTTTATAAGTGGTTTCTTAAACACAAAGTGAAATTTCAGAAGGGAACATTAAAACATTCAAAGGAGGTGGTCTTTACGCTAGTGATTACAGGTTGTTTACCCAACGGATTCTACCTACAAAACAACAAAAAAAATACTGTAGAGAGATTCTTCTAGATGTCCATATATCCTAAATGTCCAGGCTAGCTCCCTGGAGTAGTTAGGGGGTATAAAAAGCAAATTCATGTTTAAGACATCGAGTTATATGATAGTTACAGTGTAAAGTGAGAATGAAGTAGGTTTTCATTTCATTGAAAATCCAACTTCCCTGAGTTGTCTAAAAGGGATGTTCTAATAAGTGAAGTGAGACCATTGTAAATCATTATTTTACATGTGTTCATGTAATTTAAGAACTCTAATTTAATTTTGATAGTGCACATTTAGTTTAGTTGGTTAAATGAAACTAAACAGGCACTTAAATTTTTCTAAGTAGGCTTAAAGTATTTTTCATTGGGGGCTTTCTTGCATCTGTTAAATTAAAAAGTTTTGCTTTAAAAAAGACATTGCCTACTTTATCACCAAGTTCAGGTTTTTAAGAAGAAAAAATACAGATGCTCAACTCTTGGTGGAACTAGTAGGATGCTAAATCTTTAATATCTATTATAGTCCTGGTTCCAGAGTGAGAGAACGGCGTGACTCAAGTCTCCGAGCATGTAAAGGCAAAAAGGGAAGAGGACCCAAGAAAGGGGGTGGACCTTCTCTGACAGAGAGTAAATGCTATTCTGATGGATACTTTTAGTGGAGTGTGTGACCAGGTTATTGCATTGAGATTGAACTGATGCCCTACATCTGAAAGAGTTTCAATAGTTTTATTTTTTGAATATTCCTGTAGTGTCTTCCAGTTCAGTGTACCATTGATCATTCTTAAGCTTTATTTTATTCTTCATTTTTATTATCCTGTAGCTCATTTTAAAGAAGAAAAGTTTCAGGATTTCAGATCAATAGCTTTCCCATTAGAATGGTTTAGCATGTGATACCGATAGACTCTGCCAACTCTTGATCTGAAAATCTATGTTTTTCTCACTGAATATGAAAGCAATGTAACTTTAAATTGACTTCCAATTCACAGTGTATCATTTGAGAATGTACGCGCATAAAACATAGTTAATGTAATAAATACAATAAATAGCTCACTCAGAGGTACAGCGCTGGTTACTCTGGTGAAAGTAATCATCACCATCTCTTCCATTTATTCACTGAAGAGAAACTCAAAATAGATGAACACAGCTAGCTACACTTAAATATTTTGGACTGCTGCTGTGCTGAAGACATTTATGAAATGAGATAAACACCCTGGAAATAATTGTGCTTCTTTTTCTCAATTAATAAAATATGAAGTGACTGTTCCCTTTCCACCTATGGGGAAAAATATTCCAAATTTTCTGATTACACCTTTCAGAAAGCATAGCAGTAGAAGCTGAAAAAAGCCTATCAAATAATACCTTCTTACTCCACGACTGTAGAATTGTTAAGGAAATGCATTTGATATTGAGTATTGAAATTGTTTGATTTAGATTTAGCTATTCAAAAGTGCTGTATTTTTCTAATTCTGATTAGAGTTGATTGGGACTTTCACTATGAGATTAATAAAGTGAATAAAAGGTATCTTTAAAAGTCTTATCTTTTAGTTGTATTGATCCCCACTGTTACTGCTAATCCTTTCAGCAGACTTATTTCTTATAGTATTTAACATATGATTGATCACGTTGGTCATTTCTTCTGCACAGAAATTAATATGGCTTTAGGATTTCCTTAACTTAAAGCCTTAACCAAAGCTGGTGAAAGTTAATGTGGTATTGAAAATACAAAGAAAGTCTTACTAGCTGCTAAATAAATGAACACAGAACAATATTTGCTGTTTTATTACACCTAATACTAGTTTTAAAAGTATTCACTTAGAATGCTGAAAATTAATCTGATAGTCACACACCTTCAAAGAAGGCAGCTTCAATCCAAATCTGTTTCCACTAGAAAAGAAGCAGAAGACCAAGAAAGCTCAGATAAAATGAACTTTATTATTTATCTTTCAGAAAAAGGTGCAGCAGGATCAGAATAGAAGTATGTTCAGTAGAAAACAGTAACTCGCACTTGTTAGGTATCTGGTTTTATTTTTTATTTATACATAATTTTGCCATACATTGTCATTTCATAAAAATGCATTGTTTCTTATAGTTCATACGAATTTGGTCATTGTAGTTTGAAGCAGCAGCAAAAACAAAATTACTTAGGAGATAAAAAAAAAATATTACACTTTTTAATGACTCCTGGTAGAAATTGGGTAATATTTTCTTTATCCTTATGCATTTGCATAAGTTGCTCTAAGTGCATTGAGTACCTTTCATTTGCACAGGTAGGCAAACAAATTATTTACTTATTAATGATGCTTTCCTGTTTGGCCTATGAT